ACGAATCTGCGACTATGCCGACATTTCGCCAACGAGGCTCTGACCCAATGACGAGGAAAAAAGTCGTGTTGATCGTTGCAATTGCTAGTTGTATCGACGTGGTGATTGAAGCAATGGTGAATAGCAGAAAGCGAACCTTGCGGCCCGTAGTGCGGGTGAATGGCTCTGAATCAAGAAGTAGCCTCAGCAAAAGCAAAATCGCTGTGTCTTGTGCAAAGAAACTGAGTGACCACTTGGAGAGTTCGGTCGACGTGAGAGCTTGTAAATGGACGTGTATGTGGAGGCATTTGGTGATCAACACCGAAGTAGCTGCAATCGAGAATACGAATCTTGCATCCATGAGTCGGCAGAAGGGGGCTGCAATGATGGACAACATGCCGCGAGGACTACAAAAACATCTTCGACAACCAAAACGAGCTGCGTGGGAGGCAGTAGGACATTTCGGAGACTCCATGATAGTTGCTCCAGGGTTGAAATGCTGGCTTCGTCAAGGCAGGGAACCTGAAGAAGATGACAAGAAGCACACTCAAGCCATCGCGCCCATAGCAACTATGTAGAGTAAGGAAATTCACTTCGTCCTAGGTACAAGGTAAATTCGACATGCATGCTGGGCGAGTAGGGTGTTGGACCAACACTGAATGCGATGTCGGGATATGGAGGAAGATGGGCGTGGCGCAGAATACGAGTGGACAACGAATGCGGTCCCAGGTCCCGTCAGAGTATAACGCCATCTTGTGGATGCACGTTGAATTGTGACGAATGAATCCGGATCCGTTTCGAGTTCGCCTGGTTTGGGTCTGGAATGCAAATCGCCTGGAAGATGTGGATCTGGACGCTGAATCCACGAACTGGTTCTGACTGTGGCGTGATGCAAATCACACACCCCGATTCGCTGGCAGGCCGTGTATACTGATTGGCATTTCATAGCTCCAGCTATCGCCCTTGATGCTATGAGGCTGGACAGCCACGAACTTTCTTGTTGTCTTTGGTGTTGATGGCTTGTCCACGGGTAAGGTAGAGCCAGCTCTATTGTATCGACTTGACATTATCACCACAATACGAGTGTGCTATATGTCTTAGCTTAACGAGATTCGGCCTGATGCAGTCTCAAGAAGCCAACGATGTAGTGAGTTATCTATTTATTACCCTATCCTTGTACCTCTCTATAGGCTGGAGACCAGCGACTGGAAGGGCAACCCTCCTGGAGTGGGAGGAATATTGAAATTAAAAATCTAGTTACCCGGTGCAGTGCGAGGCTCTATTTGGAAAAGCTTTCGGGCTTACTTTGGTTGCCTTGATATTGGCTGACCACTGGTTGCATTCTTGCCACGGATTCGGACCCAAATACCCTACACATGCTACTACTGTGTATTCATTGCTGTACTACCATCGAACAGCGTGGGCAAGACATTGCGGACGGCAGGAGCACTATCCCGTCTTTGCATTGTGGGCAGCTATGTAGCTTTCAGCAACTGATATTTACGACGCTCTAGTGTTATGGTAGGCTAAACACCTCAAGCTTGTACCTGACTAGGCGGCATTTGTAAGCAGAAGAGGTTCATCATTGCTTATCGATCCGCAGAAGGGCATTTCCAGGCCCGGATCGTAGCTCCGCAAAAGCTACTGTAGTGAAGTCCATCGGAGAATAAATCCGCTACATGGGACACAGTTATCACGTTTCTGAACTGGGCGAATGGCATATTCTAACCCTGCGCTTGTTGATGGAGGTGGCTACGCATCTCCTTTTCTTTATCCCATGTGAAATTGGTTTTGACATCTTCAGCCTTGCTCCGAATTTGGCAGTTAACTGAGACAACAACGGCACCCGTTGCTGGAGAAAGTTGTGGAATATCTACAGCAAACTGAAGCGTATATACCACGATTTGACCACCCTTGGATTCCACCCAAATCTCCAAACCATCAAACGTGGACGGCATCATCATATGGACCCAAGAGAAGTGCCGAGCCCAGTTTTAATGTTCTGCCCAATGCTTATGGGATTCGAGGGGGGTGTGCTATGCCTCCGCGCGTCCCGCGTGGCCCACGCGCATCAAAGTCCGCAAGCGGTCCGCTCACAAACCACTGTCTGACAGTAATATGATGAGGACGATAGCTGAAAGTATTTAAGAGACTGAGTAGAATTAACAAGAGGTGTAACAAGATCCAAATAAGTTTTCATTTTTAGACAAGCCTTGTTATTTCTTACTGACTCCTCACACCGACCATACAGGTTGAAGTTTTACAAAATGGCCAACTTCAAGTATATCCACAAACTCCGCAACGCGCGCATTGTCATATTTGGAGCCACTTCAGGATTTGGCTTCGCTGTTGCAGAGGCTGCTATTGAACATGGTGCCAATGTCATCTTATGCGGCTCTAATCAGCAGCGACTCGACGGGGCTACAAAGCGACTCGAGGCCTCATACTCTGAGTCTACTCGAGGTCAGATCACAACAGCTGTTTGTGATCTCGCTGATGTGGACAATCTGGAAGCCCAACTTCAGGACATGTTCAACACTATCACCGATAATGGCGTATCCAAGATAGATCACATTGTTTTCACTGCCGACGACTCCCATGCAGCTCCGCCTGTGTCCAAGACTACACCCAACGACATTTATCTTTCATTGCGATTGCGAGTGTACTCGTCCACCATCTTGGCCAAAGTTGTGGCGGCAAACGACTTTCTTCAGCACTCGCCGGATGCATCAGTCACGCTTACAAACGGGGTAAACGGCCACAAACCGGTAAAGGGCTGGGTCGTCCCTGGCATGGCCTCTACGGCCCTGGAAGGATTAGTACGTGGTTTGGCTGTTGAACTCGCTCCTGTGCGCGTCAATCTGGTTTCCGCTGGACCCGTGGCCACTGAACTGCTTGCCAAGTTGCCACAGGAGTATATTGACATGTATGAAGCGGAAACTCTTACCAAGAGGCTGGGTCGTCCGGAAGATGTCGCCGAGGCCTACTTGTACGCCATGAAGGACGGGTCTGCGACCGGCTCTATTATCTTCTCCGACGGAGGCAGGAGGCTGGCTTAGTAGCTTGGCAGGTCCTACAGCCATTTTGAACTACATGACTACGGCTGGAGGAAGAATAAATTGGGCTAGATCAAGTACAAGTTGTCGGTAACTAACCTATGATATACTTTGATGCCGCAGTGTATATGATTAGCAGGCAAGCATATTCCGCTTTAAACTATAGATTCATGTCAACGAGGGTTATATTTACTAGCCGTTTCGTGGGTTTCTGATCGAAGCCCAGCGGTACATGTCAGCTGGATCACAAATTTTTGACCATCACAATAATGACGATGTTATGCTGACAGTAGATGCTATATTCGGAAATTTCCACCGCATCTCTGCCAAAGCGAGCAACTCCCGGTCGGCCGTCCGGGCAATTGCCAGTATCACCGCTCTGCGCTTGAACGGACCCAACAGTTTCATGGTTGTCAGTATTGCGTCACTGAATTCCCAACTTCTTCAATAGATTGGCAGAAGGCCACAATGTCGTCTTGTTTTGTGTGTGTGGTCAGTTTGGTTTACTAGTGTTCCCTGGCTGAGACTTCCGGCAAGCACACCCATTCGTATCTCCAGTAGGGGATAGAGCCTTTATTAGATGGCGTATGCATCGCCCAGCTAGCGTGCAGATGAGATTTACCGGATCAGACTTGACTTGTTCCAACCCACCCACGGGCCTGGCTGGCTGCGACCACGCCACATGGCTCTGGGGCGGAACGAGATAGTTTGACGCCATCGACTAGATCCTCGTGTAAGGATGTTATCTGAAGCCTACTAAATGGGCACAGGCTTGATCTCGTCGAGCCCAAAGGCATTTTACTGTAACAGGCAAACGCAGTGCATTCCTGTCTTCGTATTGTCGCTGCTTGTCCCCATGTTCTGGTACTTGTTCTCGGCATTCGGTCGCGGGAGCGTGGAATTACTTGTGAGACATGGCCCTAAATAATCTGCAATAAAGCCGTAAGTTTTTGGTAGATCAGTCGCTCTTGCTGATAGAACAAATATCTTCGATTTATCGCCGCTGTGGTTACTTTTCATTGAATCGCAAACGCAATTGCACTACGGGATGGCCTCATCTACAGGACAATATGTCACGTCCGGTGCAAATCATGTTCTTGAGAAGCCCGCCAGTCCTCAGATGATAGAATGTCCAGGCAGGAAGACCATTCGCACCGCTGTGTGCATTTCGTATGTGAACCCGTACTTATTGACTCTTATTATGACAACAAACTCCAACATCATATACTGACGCCATAGCCCTTTGCTATGAAAGCTCATGGAGTATCACTTCTAATAGTACTATTCTCTTTAATAAGTGGCTTATAGACACTCGGAGGCTCCGTATAGCTCCCTGAAATGATATTGATTCAGTAAATACTTGTCGTGTAAAGCAAACATCATATACTAACTACTTCTCAAGATTTCCGTAAGGCTAACCCCTGGTTCCTGGGCGAATAAGACTCATTTTGTTTCCAATCGACAGGAAATAAACTCGCATGGTGTATGCGGAATATACCAGCTAACAACAAACTACATAGCAATTCTACTGACATGTTGGCACCTATTTTTTGCAACCATCGCAACCCAAGTCCTAGCACACACCACCAAACTTCTAGATTCGCGGAAGAACAAATGCATTTCGCCACATATTTATCCTCTCGCTATTTTACCCATCAGCATCTTCTACTCTCTATCTCTTGTAACCTCAAATATAGCTTACCTGTACCTCTCTATTCCGTTTATACAAATCTTAAAGACCACAGCGCCAGCGGTGATGCTATTCGTTGCCTGGGTAGCCGGCACCGCAAACCCTACCTTTACCACGATTCTGAATATTCTATGGGTTGTCGGAAGTGTTATGCTTGCCTCTACAGGCGAGATACAGTTTTCACTCGTAGGATTTCTATATCAGATGGGTAGCATTGTTGCTGAGTCGATTCGCCTCATCATGATTAGCTTCTGTTGAGTAGCGATGGGCTGAAGATGGATCCTCTAGTTGGGCTGTACTACCTTGCCCCTGCCTGCTGCTTGATGAATTTTCTCATTGCCTTGTCTACCAACGAGGTCGCGAATATCTCATGGCATGCCGTGCAGGATGTAGGCGCTGGCCTATTATTCCTCAACGCGCTAATTGCGTTCATGCTGAATATTTCCAGTGTTTATCTGGTAAACTCTTCACATTACTTGCTCCCAACAAACATGTCAGCTAACAAATGGCAGATAGGACAGACATCTGGCTTAGTAATGACACTCGCCGGAATTTTGAAGAATATCCTGCTTATCATTGTGTCAGTCATGATCTGGCGCACGCAAATTACAGTTCTCCAGGCTGTAGGCTACACGAGTGCCCTTGCTGGCTTGATATACTATTCGCTGGGGTACAATCAGTTGCCCAGGGCAAGCCAAGCTGGTTCAGTAGGGACATTCAGTTGGTGGAAAGGCACATCAGCATACAACGCTGGCTCCATGCGTCTCAAAACACGACGGGCTATTCTTGCGGCCTTGATTATCATGACAGGACTTGTAGTTCTCTCGCCTAGAATGTGGAGCTCTTATAAGCAAGATGAAAGAATTATGCAGGCTGTCAAGGAGTGACTTATCGAGTCATCCATTCAACCCACTAGCTACTATTTAGCTATAATCAAATAAAGCCAGTCAGCAAACCGAGTAGTTAATTCCTAATTTATTCTTTCCGGGGGCGTGATTAAGGAGCATCGAACAAATCGCCCCTTGCATGACAGTACTCGAACGACTTCCACAATGGAAGGCAAGCCGCCCTCCCAAATTGGCAATTATAATATTTTAGCAGAAAATTTGTACGTCGATTACGCAACGGCGACTTCCAATATATAGATTGTATGATAATCCCCACTGGGGATAGCAGAAACAATTCAACGTAGCATTTTCACACATGACACGGGTCCTGCAGCTGTTTGGTTAGGATTAGTTAAACAAGCAGACTTGATGTAATAGCTCAGTGTCGTGAAATCCTTGATATCAGTAGTTTAGTTGGCTAATTTGAAGCCATTGAATATGGTTTCCAACTACATCAAACTCAACTATTTAACGACTCGTATTTTCAGAAACGAAGATGAGGAACAACAAGGAATTCATAGTGCAATGTATTGTGGCTTCGATTCATTCATGATGCGGGAATAACATTTGAACTTCCCTACTCATTGTAAAAATGAGCTCGCTTGTTAACAAGTACATGATAAGATTTCACGGAATAGTGCTACGTATTGCCACGTTCAAAAGCTAAGTGTGCTACTCCAATAGACCGGACAGATAGGCCATTTGCTAGTAGCATTGCTAGTGTTGCGCCACGTGAGCATTATGGCGGAGGCGGCCCAATACGAAGCCATCGACTACAAGTTGAAAGCGTAATTGGTTGTGAGTCACGCTGTTCTTTTGTGGCTACTTGTAGTTTCTTGTTAGCTGTACTCGTATTACTGCCAATAATCGGAGCCAAGGCTCAAAAGCCGACGCATCGAGAGCCAAACTGACTTCCTCTGTCCTTTGAGCCATCCACGTCAGGAGACCTTGTCCCTGGCCACTCTCATCTCCGTGCTACGGCAAATATCTTCTTGCAATGACAAAGGACGCGACTAGTAGCGCGCTACAAACTAAAAATACACTATTGCGATGTTCACTCCCTGTTTTGCTTGTTAGACGACAGACAACTCAGTGGGCTTTGTGCGTCCGGCAGTAACATACCTTCCTTGTCTAGACTGTGCCCAACCACGACGAAGACGTTGAGAGGAAAACGCAGAATGCTGTAAATCGTTCCACGGGCGTTATCCTCGACCAATTCACTCTTCAGGCTCGCCATGGCGGGCAAGTAAGCGCCGATGCAAGCTTCCAGAAGACAAAAGGTCCAGAATACCGATATTTCACTCCGGAGCCCAGCAGCCATGGCCAAGGAGCAAGCAGCTAGCAATACCACAACAAGGAGAACATCTGTTGATCCTCGCAATCCGTTTGAGCGCTGAATAAGGCGGGTAACCAATGCGGACCCGGCCATCATGGCGCACATAAAATTGGAGAAGATGAGTCCAAAGGGCATATCCTCGGTTGAGCCTGCTGCTATCCTGGAACTCTGCAAGGCAGCGGACCAGAAGAAAATAAAGAGGTACATGGTGCCTTCGAATACGCATGAGATGAGGCCAACCGACACAACGCGAGCATCACGAGTGATGGCTCGAACCCCAGATCGAATGCTGTCAGTCGATCCATGGCCCAGCGAACAGAGACCGAAATTATCGCGCTGTACAGCTATTAGCAGCAGTAGTGTTGATGCAGGCTCGGATATAACCTACCCAGTTCAGCCATATCAGCGCACCGGAGCCACAGCAACAGGCTATAGCAACCATGAAGGGCCAAATTCTTGTGCCAGATGCTGTAACAAGCACATCGCCTAGAACACCAGACACTATGGCAACGAGGCAGCTAATGGTAGTCATGGCACTGAATATAGGACCAAGCTCCAATGCGAAAGCCTGTAAGCCTCGTTCGTGATAGTCGGAGATCATCCAAGCCTCGAAAACACTGTAGAGAAGCGTGGTGCCAACCCCGCCGGCCAATCGTCCCAGGAATAATATCGGCAAGCTGTCGCTAATCATGGTCAAGCATGTGATGATATAAAGAATGCAATACAATAAACAAGCCTTCTTCCGCCCAAATCTATCCGCTGCGCCGCCGAGGAAGGATGCACTGATGGCACCCGAGATAAATCCTACAGAGTACAGGGCGGCAACCATCCTCTCGGAGAGATGTTTATCATACTTGTATAAAGCATATATATGCGGACCCTACCACGTATTAACTCAATGGTCACCACAATAAATGATGTTTTTTTTCACTGACCTGCAGCCAGTCTGCTGCTGTAGCTAGTGTATATGGAAGAAAGAAGTCGAGTTGAAACTTTTGAATCTCGGCGCTTGGCTTTGTGTCTTGGTGGCCTTCGATGGCCGCGACATCGCAAGGTGTTGTCGCATCATGTTTCGTCCTCGACCCTCTGTGCTGCGACCATACAAGGTAGGTGTTTGCTGCTGCAAATATTCCCAAATGCGCTTGATAAAAGGTCATGATATCGAGGCAGAAAGGGTATACTTGGTAAAGATTCAATCGCACGGTGAGTAGGTAGGCACCTTGCCCACTCAAGTTTTGTCAGCTCAAGAGGCCAGGATTGACCAATGTCAACAGCTCTTAAGATCTGGCATGAAAGCGTCCATTCTTTTAGGCGGTTTCTTTAGGCTACGCCATCATGTCAGATTTGTGGGTAGAGAAATAAGAGCATGACTGAGTACATCTATGGGGAGCTTTATGCATGAGCGCTGTAGCCCCAGTGCCACATCGCGCCCGCCTTTGTTACACACACATCCAGGCTGCCACACCCTTGCATGTAAGTTCCGTGTAATTGAGTGGAAATCGTGATATTTACTTAAAAATTAAAGGTTAAAGTTAAGGGTCAAATTTAAAAGTCAAAATTAAAGGCTACTAGGCGCGTAGTGGAAAATGATTGACATGTTCCCATTTTTTATGTCAGTGTGAAACACACCAAGGGGTGTGGGCTATGGAGTCCCCAACCCCATCGGGTCTGGTTAGTAATGTCTGGTGGGCTACATACTCCGTACAGCTCCCATAGATGTACTCGCATGACTTCGTATCCATGAGCAAGACACGAAACGTGCTTTCCCAGCAGTCCCTGTTCTGGCTGAAGCTTCTTTTGTTTCAACACAGAAGTGGGGTAAAGACAATCTGTCAAGTACATGGCGCATGTTAGTGTGCTCGAAAACAGACAAGCTGCTGCTGCTATTCGTGTTAAGGTTCCGACACAGCGTGTCACTAACCGAAGCCATCTGGAATGCAAGCTCTAAATGGGAAGCCTGGTTCGCACAGACGTGTCATTTTGATCTGGGTATTTCGTCATTTGCCGCGCCAAGGACCCTGACCTAAAATTAGTTCTCGGATTGCTCGACTACTTCATGGCGTCTCCTTGTGACCCTGATATTTCCTTTGCCCTTTCTCTCTCGCCACGGATCCATCCATCGCCGTCAAAATGGGCATCAAAAGATCAAGCCAACACCTTGTTCTGGTTGCAATTTGGGGTGTGCTCTTTCTTGTAGGGTACTTAAGCCTCTCGCCGTCACGCGAAGGCGTGGCCTTTATCAAAAACCCCTTTAGGCGCAGCAGCATTCGACCTCGGTATATTTTTGTCGATCTTGGTGCCAACATTGGTGACTCACTCGATGCCTTTCTGAGGAAAGAGGATGCCAAGTTTCAGTACGAATTTCCTCGTCCAGACTGGGCACGGTACGAGGAGGCTGGTAAGTTTGCCGGTATTGCACAAGTTCCCAAGAGAATGCTGGCTCATTTTCCATTCTGCAAAATAGATATTTACCTTTTCGAGGGCAACCCGACATTCAACCCGGCGCTCGTTGAGGCAAAGCAGCGACATCGCTCTCGAGGAGTCAACGTCAACATCTTTCCCTCTACGGTTGTAGATGTCAGAGACGGAACTCGTATGTTTTACTTGGATACCATAAATGATGAGCACGACTACTGGGGATCTTCGATTTACGCCAACCACCCCGACGCTGTGGACTCGGGCTCAAACGGAACCGAGCTCACTGCCATTAATATCTCGAGATGGCTCTTGATGAACACTCTACCCCACGACTTTGTTGTGGTCAAGATGGACATTGAAGGAAGCGAGTACGATGTTATTCCGCACATGGCAGAGATGCGGGCGTGGACGGTCATTGATCATCTCCTTGTTGAATGGCATAGCGGATTACACGATGGGGATGCCGTTCGAAGAGCCGAAATGGGGATGAAAAAGTTGGTTGCCGAGGGAGTAAACATGCCTGAATACGATTCCCCCGCTTAGGATGTGAGTGTTTTGAGATGGAGGTTTCGTTGCAACCATGAGTCATTGTTAATTTTACTGCATTCACAATATCGCCTCTGTGGCCAATTTGGTGCCTTTTGTGTCGGTCTACTTACGTGCCTAAATAGTCTACTTTCCACGGAGCCATACCATGATGTTTCCACATGCAATTGTCTTTATACTTGGCGTGATGTGGGCTGTGGTAAGTGAATTTATGCGTCTTCTTCAACCTCATCCAGAACGAGACTTCTGTGCTCGTTCAAGTATAATTAATTGATCATTATAGATACAACATCTCCTTCCCAATTGAGCAGCGCTTTCTCTGTTAACAGGGGCCACAAGGAAGAATTTAAGTCAATACTACCGTATTTGGAACTGTCGTCGCGAAATATCCGTTTCACTGCTGGGCTTTGGATCAAGCGCGCCTGAAAATGTGATTGGACTTTTTACTCGGTTTTCCTCTGATCGTTCAGCTGAGACAAATGCTTAGTGACCCTATGGAATACCCCTACGGGTACGAAGTGCAAGTGCGGCTTGTAGCCGCCCAAGGTGCTGAAATCGGAAATTTGATTGTTTGTGGCGAGATCCAAGATGGCCGAAAGGGGCAAAGAAAGGAATGCAACGTGTGCCACCACGGCGCTATTGTCTGCAATCACTACGGAATGATGTATACGAGACACACGACCCACAAGGTCGGCGACGCCTCCCAAAGTCCAGACTCTTTGCTGTCCGAAGGCGTTGCATGTTGATGGCTGTGGCTTGAGGGCCGTTATCATGAACGGGTTTCGTTTTCCTTTTGGGCCGGGGAATTTGCTCTTCTTCTTGCCCGGCAACGACACTTTATTCAGCTATCATGTCTTTTTTTGTCAAAAAATGCCAGCAATATTAGCGAAACAGGGTGCACCGTTCCTTCTGCGCCGCAAGACTATATCGTCAAGATGGCGAAGAGCCATTCTCTTTACACTCATGATCGGCGCTATCATGTCGGCACTGATGCTCACATCGAAACAAGTCGGTCGAATATGTCATGGCAGCTCTTGCGGTTTCTCCAGTCTACGAGGACTATTGGCAAAATGTAAACACGGCCCAGCAAGCAGCCCCCAAAACGACAATATTGCCGACAGCGCTCTCGTAGGACATGAGACCTCTATATCGGCATCCAACCTCTCCCTCTCCAAAGACAATGACTGTAACGAGTTCCCAGATACTTCTAAAGTTTTGATACTCATAAAGACTGGAGCATCAGAGGCATATTCAAAGCTTCCGGTTCATCTTCTGACAACGTTGAAGTGTCTTTCGCACAATTTTCTTCTCTTTAGCGACATGGCTGAGAATATTGCCGGCTATACAGTCCATGATAGCCTTGAAACCGTACTGTCGACGGTGAAGGGGACAAATGGAGATTTCGACATTTATCACCGGCAAAACGACTGTCCTATTGCACATGAGCAATGCAACGAGGATCATGATGTTGGTTTCGAAGGCTGGAACCTAGACAAATATAAGAACGTTCATATAGCAGAGCAAGCTTACAAGATGCGGCCAGACTATGACTGGTACTTTTTCATCGACGCCGACACCTACGTCAGCTTTCCAACATTAATGGAGTGGCTCCCGACCGTTGATCCCAACAAGCTTCATTACATTGGTCACGAGAAATATTCCGGATCCTTTCCGTTCGCACATGGCGGTAGTGGATATCTCATGTCAAAAGCAAGTATGCGACACATGTTTTTTGGCAAAACCGGAGTGGGAAACAAGTATGATGAGGCAACGCAGGACGGCTGTTGCGGTGACATTATGTGGAGCGAGATTGTGCTCAACGAGACGGGATTAACTCCTGAGAACATGGTGTGTGAAGCCCCAACATTCCAACACGGAGCAAAGGGAACAAGTTCTGACTCAAAATGGGGGTAGTGGCCGGTTATCAACGAGTTCAAGCCTCGCACGTTCAATTACTACGAGGACCAATGGTGCCAGCCTCTGATTACGTTGCATCATGTCAATGGAGAGGAAATCAACGACTTGTACGCTTTCGAACGAGGGCAAAACTTTGCCAAGAGGATCAGAATCAAGGATATGTACTACCGGTTTGTGGCTACCCATCTGGTCGAATCACGTTCAGACTGGGACAATGGGGGTGAGGACGTCTACTACTTGGATCGCGAGGCTAGAACGTACGAGGCGTCCGAACTGGACAAGGCCAAGACGGACGAGCTATCGGACATGGAGCTCGTGGCGCATAAGAACTCGTCGAGCTGCAAAGACGTCTGTTACTCTCAAGAGGACTGCTTCCAGTGGAGATATCGGGATGGCATTTGCGGCCTGGCGTATAACAAGATGCGGCTCGGCAATGCCGTAAAGAAAGATGACGATGAAGCCAAACGATCATTTAGTGGATGGCATATGGATCGGATCAACAAGTGGATTGGCGAGCAAGGCAATTGCAGTGAAACATATCAATGGCGGGTAATGGACGAGCAGAGAAATAGGGACTCAGGAACATAAAAGTAGATTGTTTAGCCAGCATATTGATTTTCCCCTTTCCTTTTCTTTCGTCTTGTTGTCTTTGTGCTGATGGGTCTCGCCGCGACAGTCCTGCTAGAATGCAGGATAACGAACCAGAGCAGAGCTTGGTGGTGATCAAACCGATAACATTGGATCGACTGCCAAGTAGACCTGTGTACTATGCAAGCAGCAATTGTCGCTGCCAAGTTGCTGCTATTGCCGCCTCAAAGTTGGTTGTGTCAGGATCAGCATGATCTAGTTGCAAGCTACGTCGTACATAGTATCCAGCCAAACTCGCCAGCGCGCATATCCAGGTAAGGGCCAGGATTCTGCGGGAACTCGAGCCCCAGGCGGGAAGCAGCCGTATTGTCTACCCCAGCCACCTTGAGTGTGTGGTCTGGTGCGTTGGACGGCTTGACTCCCTGGACACTGCGGCGTTGGGCTAGACGGAGTCGTCGTGCCGGTGGCGCTTGCAAACAACAAACAATGGTCCATTTGTCTGGGAGTAAGATTCGTGTTACCAGTTCATGTTTTGCCACCGGCTGCCAAACGGTTTCAATATTTCCTGGCTGACGACATGTTCCAGCCGTCCCCGGTGTCATCGTCAGCCTCGTTCGTGTCTCATGGACCGAGGGGCTGAACATGGATCACTCCTCGTCGAATCCGGCTCCATGTCTTTCGCCGCGAATTGCCACTCGACCTGTTTGCGGTCGCGACTTCTGGCAGCACTTTATGTCACCATGGAATGCGCACCCGATGCAGCATTTTGTTCTTGATCTCTTTCCCGGATCCCGTGCCGCCGTTGCGCCCGCCATCCCGTAACGCTGAGTCGCCCAACATCCATCGTCTGCTTGCCGTCCATCGCTCCCAACTCCGATTTACGCTCCTAGGCAGCATTCCATATCAGGAGAGACACAATCCGCGGCCAAAGGGTCGTCATGAATATCCCAAGATGGGCCAAAATCGGCCTTTGCATAACGGGCGCACTCATGATTTACCACGCCAATACATTCGCTCATAAGCGATATGGCAAGGTCAAATATCTCGAAACGCATCCCTTGCGTGTTTATGGCGATGGAACTTGTGCCGATAACATTAGGATCTCCGAAGGCCTCATTGAAAAGGCAAAGACGATGCGACAGCAATGCCAAGATTCGGCCTCGCCGCTGCGGACGTATGGCTCCTGGGGCGCGCGGATTGCGACCGTAACGACTCACTTCTCTAGCCCTGATGATCCCCAGAGATTTTATCAAAAGGCCATCGAGACTCACATTCTTCATAACCTCGTACATGGCTCACAGTTGCACGTCCTGTGTACGCCGATTATCGACCACATGTGGAACAAGCAGGCATTTATTCAGTTTGTGTTGCTGAGCGAGCTGGCAAAACCGCCGCAGGAACGTCTTGAATGGATTTTTTGGGCTGATCGGGACACTATTGTGCTGGACTATTGCCGTCATCCAGCCAGCTATATTCCGGCAAAACTACATCTGAGCTACAGTCCAGGCACAGAACCAAGCAAGGAACAAAACATAAACCTGCTCATAACACAGGATACCAGAGGCCTCAATGCAGGCGTCTTCATGATCCGCGTAAGCGAATGGAGTGTCAATTTTCTTAGTGATGTTATTGCCTTTAGGCATTTCAAGCCCGACGTTGAGCTCCCGTTCGACGAACAAACAGCCATGGAGCAACTTCTCTTGGAAGACCGGTACAAAAATAACGTCGTCTACATCCCGCAGCCCTGGCTTAATACGTATGCCTGGGACAATGCGCAGGACTTTATGAGCCGAAAGGATGTGGAAGGCCTAGATGACTGGGCCTCGAGGCGAGGCGACTTTCTCATTCACTTTGCGGGAAACGAGGACAAGGAACTAAACATTGTAGAATATTCACAAGTGGGGGACAAGATTTTTAATATTTGGGAAACGCGCGATATGCTGCGGGATGTAAGCATGGATATTGAGCGTTTCTGGGGAAATCGCAGCAATGGGCCAGGCTGAACGCCATTCATCTAAGTGGCTGGACGCCAAACAGCTTGAAATGGTAAAACAAATATCCGCCGTCAGGTTGTACCATTTCTCGAGTCCATGTCCTACCCCTATCTGTAGGATTTTGGCTGAAGATGATGATATAACAAAGCAACAGAATGGTTTCCACGTCATCTTTTCACATGTGGCCGGGCAGCGATCCCCCAGGACACGGGTCTTTCAATTTATTTGTGGCCCAATCAACAGAGATTGCCAGTGTGTTACATCTTGAGTGAGAGTTACATTCACATCGACACCGCGACGGTCGCAGCGACTAGAGCCCACAGCAACCATGATGTTGAAAAGCCTCCAATAGCGGTTGCAGGTTATACCTGTTGGACTCATGATCCCTATGACTTTTTATCTGTTAAAGGAGAACAACATGGGCAATTTAAACAATTCTCTTGCAGCTTCCATCTCTCCCCAGCTGCTACGGTCCCCTTTAACCGGCCTGGACGAAGCTGACCGCAATGTTGCTAGAAACAGCACGCTGGGCTTCGACACGACTTGTTTTAATATGCCAGCCCATTACTGCCGCCTTAAAGCAGCATCACTTCAAGCCTATCTATCCGTTATAAGTCTTACACGGGCATGACGCGTACACGGGCATGACTCTCACAAAGGCATGACTCGTTTTCGCCTCTAATTCGGTCCTATTCTTTTGAGTCCACATTTATATCCGCTATAAGGCGGCAAAGCTAAGTATCTTTACAAGCTACAAGCTGTCAAGCTCTAATTTAAAGCGTACGTGCAATACAGTAGCAGATGCTCCTTTGCATAATTGTGGGTTAGGCGGTAGAAGGCAACTCGCGACGCTCTTAAGACCCAAGTGCTATACTTGTTAAAGCGACATGGAGCGATAATGCGGTTCCCGTGGCGTACTCCGTATATAAGCTTAGCCGCGACTCGCATAAACTAATAGGTGGAACTTTAATTTAGCCGCATAGTTTTATGCAGTCTTGGCTTAATGCTACTACTTGCCTGCTTATACTTATTTCAAGTATATAATATCTTTTATGCGTAAGTTATCTTTATAAAGAGAAATATATAAGCAGGTATATTTAATTACAAGTATAAGCGGAACAGAAGTTATTTGCTAGAAATACACTAAACTAATAATATAATTATATTACAGAAAAATAAACAAGAGGCTCTTGAAAAGCTAGCTATCTGGTTACGTTACTGGTGCTTTAAAGCTAGTCGTAAGAGCTTTTACTTGGTAGCGTTACTAGCTTTAATATTGCTAGTCAAGTATATATTTCTAGTTAGCCTGTTTCGCTTAATTCTTGGTCCTTGGACCTCTTCTTTCAGCTAAATCCTAGTACCCCCACAGCTAATTTAACATCTTATGCAAGTATATAAGTATCTCCCTAACTTGCTTGTAGGTCTATATAGCAGCTCTTTTTAATTGGTCTTTTATTCACAAAAACGCGTAAGCCAAATATAAATAGTATACTTGACTAATATATTTCGAGTCAGGGTTCCTTATTTAATATTATAAGTATTTATGTAAAGCATAAATATAATATTATTTTACGTAAATCTTTCTAAAATAGTATAATATATACAAATATTAAACTACTATAAAAGAAGTAAGTAGCCCGTACTAGTAAAGACATTTCCAACTAGATTCACTTCAGACTATTATCATCTGCTTATATATCAATATGAAGATCCCCGCCGCAACAGTTATTATTATTGGAAGTGCTGCGGCTCTTCCGCAAGCTGCTCCTCCTCCGGATCTAGACACCATGGTAAGTAGGCCTCAAAGCGAATACTTACAAGACTCTACTAATTTTATATTGGTATAGAAATTAAATACGTTCTTGGATATATTTAAGACGAAGTCTGAAATAATATGCCCGCAAAAAGAAGTAAAAAAGCCTGAGAAATTATATTACTAGACGATAATTTGCTAATATTACTAGACTAAAGAGAGTGTAATATGTGAACTTTACGATACGGTCAGCAAGCCTCCTTCTACTAAATACAAATCCTAACAGAAATCTATAGGACCCTCAGAATCCAGGCGTGGAGAACCTTTCACAGGTCTGCAATAAACATGGTGGTGTAAGTAAGATGCTATTTCTAAAGATACACATAAATACTAAGATATACTACAGTGTTCTGAGTGTACTTTAGCTTTTGCTAGGCAAGGACGCCCGGGAATTCCGGTTAGTAACTCCCTCACAGCCTGCAGCGCCCTTTCTAACTCGTTCAGCTGGATGTTACTTGCAAATTTGGGCCACGCTCTGCTGGCCCATCGGGCGTAGAGTTTATCGACTCGGCGATGGAAACGGTCTGCAAGCAATTGAACCTTGACGGCGAAGAATGCAGATCTTACAAACACGATTGCCTTTATGAAGCATCAAAAGCCCCATCCGCGCTTTTCCCACAGTTCTATCCTAATTGCATAGGTCGTCGGGAGAAGAAAAATAGGAACCGTCAGGGTAATGGGTCTGGTTATGGTAAGTGGAAATAGCGCGAATAAAGATCAAGTATTAACATCTAGTAGATGAGCCTATTTGGAATTGATCAGTTTCTAAGGGATTGTGTTTGCAAAGGATAAACCGGTGGAGGGTTTATGTTGGTAGAGACGTCAGGGCGCTCAGTCTGAAAGCTAAGGGCTAGACCATCCAGAGAGAAGATCAAGTGTGCCTAGCCTCGAATAGAACGGAAATTGAATTCAATTCGCCAGCCAGAATGGGGAGATGATATATCGGCAGAGTATCAATAACGATGCCAAAACCAGCGCGTGCTTAGGCAAAGTCGCGAGTGTGTCGGATAACGCCTCGGTAGACTGAAGTCGCATGCGTAACGCTCTTCGGGGCAGTCGACGAGTTTGTCCGTGGCAAGTGGTCTAGTGTCGCAAATATTGCATGATTATTGACGAGCCGGTGTGTACTTGGAACATGTGCTGGGGCATTTCCATCCTGGTTAGCATTTGAAACGTCGTGTCATTGGCTCAGC